CCCTGCCCTGCCACCGGCACTGCCACCTGCAACCACATCGACTCCAGCCAACGTCACCTCGCCCAGAGCCTGGCCAGGACTCCACCAGACCACGCCACGTTCAGCAACACTGCCTCGAACGTGAGGCTTTGGACATCTGGAGGGTGCAAAGCAGCAAAGTGGCTGGAGGCAAAACGTTGGCGTCCCGTCCTGCTCCCAGAACGCGCGTTTCCAAGGCATCAGGAGAAGGGACCCCAGCGGCTGATGGGCTGCAAGAGCTGAAAGGTGCTGACAGCCCCAGAGAACCAGGTTTCCTCATCCGAGGCAGGTGGAGCCAAGTATTTCTCGAGCCTGTTTTCACCACTGGTAGCCTTAGCCCGTGACTCACCGACGCGTGTTTCACGTCTGGAGCGGCACCGCCACTTCCCCGGGAGTCCCGGCAGCCAACCGGAGAGGCCAGTAATTTGCTGTACTTGTGGTTTCACTGGTAACGTCACTGCCGGGCATTTTGATTTTTCACCCCTCTCCAATTAAAAGCTCCATCTGAATGAGCTGGCAAGCAGCCGCCCTGCCGACAGTGGCGTGTTGCACGCTCCCTGCATCGCTTCTGCTGCTCAGTCACCACAGCTGCACACCCCAACTTTGCCAGGAAGCAAAGGGTCTGAGATCCTGCTCATCTCTCTCCACCAGAGATCTCAGATCACGAGCTCTGTGGGGCCACTGAGCACCTGCTTCAGTGACCCATCCTAACCGTGACCTTCAGGCACCTGATCACGACACAAATCATGATGGTTTGGTGAAATTTACAGAAAAGAAGCAGATAAAACCACAGACCCAGCTGAGGACCAAAACCCACCCGTAGAACCAAGCCCCCGACCTTGACCCTGCCCAGAGGCACCTCTCTGCCTCTCCCCCAGCTCGCCAGGCTCATACGGGGCCATTTCCTGGCACTGCCTTTGATTCCTCCCGAGGCTCCAGTCCTGCAGCTGATCATTAACCGACAGGAAATTCCTGACCCAGAGCTTGCCCTGGCCCCAGCCCTGGACTGAGGTTTGGGCAGCTCCCGCCACCCAGTGAATCACGCTCCGGGCTGCTGAGCGAGTCCATGGGGACTGGGAAAGAGCCACTGGAGCCACCCCGGAGCAGCCGGGACCGTACAGGCAGGATCGCTGGAGCAGGGACGGGTTGGCAGCGAGTCCTGCCGCCGCAAGGACCAAAGGGCAAAGAGGGAATCTCGCAACACGGAGATAAGGGACCCACCGGCCCAGCCAAGCTCAGAGATTGCACCACGGAGCACATCACCCCACGGCTGCCCACTCCCCAGCAGCTATTTCCAGTTTCCCTTCATGGAGGAAGCTGGGAACAGCTATGGGGGGGCCTCAGCCTTCCACAGGGGACACCACCAGGGTCACATCCAAAAGGAGAGAGCCCTGTGGACACGCAGCTCAGTGCGATCGCTAGAGGCACAGGCAGCCGCCTACCTTGTTCGAAGGCTCCAGCTTCAACGCCGCCTTTAAGATGGGAATGGCTTCTCTGTACTCGCCCTGCTGAGCCAGGACCTGCAAGGCAAGACACGGATTGAGCAGGATGGCTGAGGTCTGTCCCCCATCCCTGCCCTCCATCACACTGTGGAGAAGGGACAGCGGTGGCTGCCACAAACCCAGCCTGACGGCGGGGCCTGCCACAAACCCAGCCTCACCTTGCCCTTTCGGAACAGAGCCTTGATGTTCCCTGGCTGGTGCTCCAGGACGAGGTTACAGGACTTCAGGGCCGCCTCGTAATGGTCCAACTTAAGCTGAGAGGCTGCCAGGTTGTTGAGACATTTCACCTTCACGTCCAGCAGCTCAGCCTCTTCCTCCGGGCTGAAGTCGACTGCAAAGACCCCAAAGCCAGGTTACAGCAGGAAGGGACCCCAGGTGGCCCTCGTCCGGGCGGGGAGCAAGTACCTTTCGAGCTGGAGCCGATAACCTTGAGAGCGATGTCGTAGGAGTTGATGGCCAGCACGTAATCTGCCTGCTGATAGAAGAAGTTGCCGCGCTCCCGCTTGCGGTTGGCCAGCTCTATCTTCTCCTTCCCACCGAGCAGCTCCAGGTCTGGCGCGTCCCGAGCCGCCAGCAGCTCCACCTCCAGGGTGAGGGCTGCGTTGGGTGGGATGTCCGGGCTCCTGCAGAGAGGAAGGCACACAGCCAGAGCACTGTTACCACCGCTGACAGTTCCACCAGCCACTGGGCCACGTAGATTTAGCACTGTGGCCCAGAAATCAGAGCTGTGGACGCTTCCCAGGACAGGGTGTGAAGCAGATTGTTCCCCCCAGGCAGGACATGCTGCTGTCCTCTGCGTGTGGCAAACAAGCCAGGTCTCCCTGCTCATGGAAGCTGTGGCTCGCTGGCTGGGCTGTCACCAGAAGCGCAGGGGACAGCTTTCACAGCCCAGCTTGGGGCCATCCTGCTCCACCCCACACCCTCCCCGCTCACCTGCCCTGAGCGCCGTAGCAGTACTTTGCGTCTGACACGATCAAAGCCGTCTCCCCGAGTTCCAGGAGCTGAACACACAAGTCCAGAGCCTATAAAGAACAAGGTTGTGGGGAGCGAGCATGAGCAAGGGCAGCCAGGCCGCTTCTGACCTGCAAATGGGGACGTCACCGAGCCCAAACCATCCCCATGCCCCCTGAGGTGAGGTCCTGTTCCACAGAGGGAAAACCAGGCAGCAATAAAGCCAAGGAAGCTTTCCCCCAGCCCTGACCTGCAAGACGTCGCAGTCCCCCAGTGTAAAGGTGAGGGCAGGGTTCTCCTCCACCACGCTGCCATCCTCCAGCGTGGCCTTCAGGCGGATGGTCACATCCTGGCCCTTACAGGGACGAGTGTCCACCCCCTGGCCCGGCACCACCGTCTTCTTCTTGAGCAAGCCGCTGCCTGGGCAAGGAGAAGCCAGAGATGCGTCAGCCCAAGGCCAGGAAGGAGAACCCTTGCTCCCACTGCCCCGCTCTGCCTCTTGGTCGGCCTTTGTGGCGCGGGGAGCACCAGCAGAGCCGCGGGGAGGCACGAGCAGCCCCACGAGCCCAGCATCCTCCTTCCCCAGCCTCTC